GCCCCTCTGGTTCTGGAAGAGGGGCTGTGTTGCACCCCCCCCCAGAAAGGGAATTTTGACTGGTGGGATCTGGGAAGAGGGCCTTTTCTGCTGTGGCCCCCACTCTGTGGAACAACCTACCTCCCGAGGTGTGGTGTGCCCCCTCTCAAGGCCTTCAGGAAAGGTGTGAAATCCTGGCTATGCCAGAAGGCCTGTGGGCCGGATGGGGGCTCGCACCAGTGGAGGTGGCTTGTGGGGTAACTGATTTCCCCCCCCGTCATCTTGAATGTTTTTAGTATTTATATATAGGGTTTGTTTTTACAGTTGATTTTTAATGAATGAATGAATTTTAATTATTTATGGGGGATTTTTAATTGTTTATGGGTTTTTGATTTTGATTGTGAGCCGCCCAGAGTCACCCGTTGGGGGAGATGGGCGGCATACAAATTTAATAATAAATAAAATAAAATAAAATGCCTGATGGGGTTCAGAAGGCAAATATGAAGAGCAATACTTTCATAGAGAATAAGCATTACTAGCTAGTAAATTCATATTTAACTAACACATAAATACAAAATAATCTATTACTAATTAAAAAAAACAATAAAGTGATGGATCCCAAGTACCTTTTAGTGACTGAATTTGACTTCTTCCATATGGGGTAGAAGAAAAATTCCCACAGAAGAAAAAACAGGTTGGAGGGATGGCTGAGTAACCTAGATGGAGAAACAAGGACTATTATTCCTATTTGGTTTGTATGAAAGCTGTGCTCTTCTCCACTGAGGATGGTAATACATCACTAAAGACAAATCAAAACTTAACATCTATCTCACGTACCAAAACAATATTTAGGTCTTATTCTGTTGCAAATTTATTTTTGCCTGTCATTTCATTCACCCTTGCATCTGAGATCAGTTTGTTCTATAAGCCCTGAACTGAGAAAACAACCAGGGAATTGAATATTAACCTGGGCAAATTAGCACTTGCTAAGGAAGAGCAACAAAATATATAACTCTTGAGACTGAAATGTAAGTTTTTCTTTACTTATGCAAACAAAGTTTATTAAAAGTTTCAGGCTGACTCACTAAGTTAGATATTAAGATCCTGCTGAATCACAAGAGGCCATCTAGTCTAGCAATCAGCACTCTTGGAAAATATTAGGGCATATTGACAATAACTCTTTACTGCTTTTGGCTCCAGGCAACTGTTATTTAATAGTTCACTGTAAAGTAGGGTTCTACTTAACCATCATGTCTAATACAGTGGGGCAAAAATGTATTTAGTCAGCCTCCAATTGTGCAAGTTCTCCCACTTAAAAAGATGAGAGAGGCCTGTAAT